TAATAAAATTTCAACGCACATTTTGTTCTAAGTCGGGAAGAGCCGACTATTTATGTTGTTACGGCTCCCATGGGACGCGGCAGGCATATACATTGTATAATTTGACCCATTTGTGTCTAACAAACGGTAACATAATAATTGGAAAGAGTGAACTACATACTTTTGACAAGGATTAAAATTACACCTAGGTAAATAAGCACCTACTTAGTCTTATTAAATATTGATATTTTATGCCTAAGTGGTTTTGTACCTACCTAACTTACTTAGGTACATGATTTTTAATAACTTGAATTCACTACAGTTATGAATGCCACTAACACATCTAAAAATTAAGTAATTATCTGATAAAAATATTTATTTCTGTCTTCGTAAACGCACCCCAAATGAAAAAAAGCTAGAACGAGGTGTTAATTATAAAAAAAGCAATTTACACCATTCTGTGTACCGTAACATGCAGGTGGTATATGTAGAACATTTCTCATGGCACAATATCGGAACATCCCACAAGTCACATGTTAATTTTGCACCTTTAATTACAAGCCACTTTATATCGAACTAGCAATTTGTGGCGCTTCAAGCGATGTATACCTTACAACCTTTTTTTTTTTTTTTTTTTAAGGGGGAAAATCATCGAATGACTGCTCCCGCCTGGGTGAGGCGGAAGGGAGTGTCAGACTCTTACTGACTAAAAACCACCCCGTTCCTTCTCCTGCACGTCGAGCCGGAGCCCCGGTTACCCGTTAGGTTCTCCGCGACTCCGAATCGGCATCGGCCCTATTGGGCCCCATCTGTGGTGGTCTGATGGCTCTTTGAGGCGCGCGCGGAACACGACGCGCCGTACGCTCGGGTCTGTTTCTGGTCGGACGGGGAGCCACCCATGCTCGCCGTCCGCAGGCCCGCGCTTACGGTGGCCGGAGATCGTCCCGCGATCCCCGACGCCCGGTGTGTCCTTCGCGATGGCTGGGTCGCGAGGAGGCAGCGCTTCGCTGCCTCACGCGTCCCGCCTCCTCCTTAGCTAGCATGACTGCTTCGCAAAAGGAGGAGACGGCATCCCAGTCTCCCTCGCTCCGCATCATGGCCTGCACTAGGCCCGGACGCGAGAGGTCGCCATCGCCGATCACTTCCCTGAGGGCACGGCGGTGCTCAGCCCACGCAGGGCATTCCGCTACGGTGTGTTCCACCGTGTCCTCAGGGCGGTCCTCGCAGTGATGACACCCGGGCGTTTCCTCCCGCCCCATCAGACACAGGTACCTCCCGAAACTTCCATGTCCGGTGAGGACCTGCGTCAGGCGGTAGGTGAGGACGCCGTAGCGTCTCTCAAGCCACTCCTCAAAGAGGGGACTTACCGCTGCAATGGCAGCGAGCCCATACCTTACAACCTTAGACGGTCGTATTTGTATTAAGTATTCAGTCTGCTTTTGTAGCCAAGTGATAATGTTTCAATTGTACCTGTGTTATTATTTGCACCATACATTACAGTTATGTACTTTATTTTTCTGCGTACATTGTAAATTTGCGCTCTGTTATATGGTGGATTTTATCATTATCAGGGTTTTTTAATTCTCAAAGGGATAGGCAGAAATACACTAGTAAGGATTAGCACTCACTTATCACGAATTATGTAAAGAACTAAGGAAACTCATGAGGAAGAACCCTTCTGTGGTTCGAAACTAGTAGAGCTTTTCTCGGTATATTCACGTGAGTAACAAGCGATTTTAAGTTAATAGATCCTAATGCTTAACAGTCGCAATTACATATCGTCATTACTCTCTACAGCACAAAATAAAAAAGTAACAAAATCAATTGGATACTTCCTTAATCAAAAATAAATTGTTTCGACTGTTCAATACAATAAAATATATATAAAAAAAAATTAAAAAACTTTCATTGATTGATTGTATGACCGACTTAATATTTTTATATTTTTCTAGCAAATTTTTAAGAAATAATTTTGCTGTTTGACGCTCAAAAAACGTGACGTTACAATACACAATCTCGTACAAAATTCATAGATAACTGTCGTTTTTGACAGTTCGAAAAAAGTATTGAATTTGACTAGTTGGCATATACCCAATTTTGAAAAGGAACAGAATCGTTAGGATATACTTAATACAAACAATAGACACTTACGATTGATAGTGGCCTGGCCTCGACCTCGTATAGACAAAAGTATATTTGTCACTTTTTGTCAAATAATGCCGGGTCAAGAGTGACAGAGACGGATCGATTTCATTCTATTTCTGTTTTTACGTATAGAGGAAAAGTCTTTGATTTGTCGAAGTACTTATATTAAAGTAAATGTTATTTATCCAATTTTGATAATGAATAAGTAATTTAACTGCTTCATTGGTCGAGGGTGAGAGCTTTCGGGTTTGATTCCCGGATGAGTCGAAAAAGCTATTATCGGTGGAAGAGTATGTTATCGAAATAATATATGATTTTTAAACATAAAAACGGCACGAAAGTCTGGAAGAATTGCCGCTTACAACAATAGATTCACCTCGTTAATATATTACAAATAATTTATAACAGCTGAAAAGTGTTACTGTTAGATATCATTTTAATAAAATACACCTATTGAGGAATTGTACCTACCTTACTTTGAAATATGTAACGTTATGTTTATATATTTTTTTATTCTTGATATTTGGCGACCTTCTCATCTGGAGGTAAAAAAATAAATAAAACACAAAATACAAAACAACTGAAAACAATAAAGGAAAGACATCGGCAACCAGCAAACAGTTTAATACCAGACTTACATACATTCAACCTACATTACGTCACGCCTTTGCTATGACGTCATAACCCAGCAAATATAGAACAGGCATAAAATAGGACAATAAAATTGCAATATTAATATCGTTGTTATTCGCTATAATTGTGGGGAAGGACGCGCTAATGTATGCATAATAACACGCCTTTAGTAAGAAGGTGGTAAGCAGAGCACGTATTGAATGTAACACAGTTTTTACTTGTCGTGTAATGAGTGCTTATGTAGAAATAGACGCAATGGGGAAGATGACAGGTTATGACAATTAAAAATCTAATTAGTCCGTCAGTTAGGTAATGAAAAAATATTAGACACGTATTTTTTTATTTTGTTTTATAAGAAAACAATACTTAGATAAAACGAATCAAAGTTTAAGAGTGGGAGGTAGCTACGTCATTTTAGAGTATAAATCGTAGGTACTCAAAAGTGACGTCATGTGATATTTCAAATCAATATAACGTCGAAACTATTCGTTTCCGTAAGACAATAAAAAAAATACAAGGGTACCTAATGTTTTTCAATAATCTACCAGACGAACATTAAAATAAAAAAATTAGTCATCTACCCTATTATTATCATGTAATAGATCGAAACTCATTCAAAACTACGCGCTATTAAGTAGTCATAACTAGTTTTTAAGCCATTATACAGCACAAATGTAGCATCATAAATAAATACTATTGCATAACGTGAACGTCCATATTTGCAAAACTTCGATTACTATCAGCTAGTATTTCAAATGGTTTTCAAAATTTTCGAAATCTTCTTTCCGAGATTGTCTGAGCCAGGAATAAATCCAAGATCTTTGCTTTATAGTCAAGCTTATGAACACACACGACGAGCAACGAAGCAGTGTAAGTACTAATGTTTTTTTTTCATTTAAGACTGTGTACCCAATTTTGATTATTCACTTTAAAGCCTTCACGTCATAAGCTACGCCCAAAACAAATAAAAATACAAAACAATAAAAACAAGATGAAGAGCCTATGGCTTGCAAATACCGACCTCAATAAGGTGAATTTATTTAAATATCATTTATCGCTTTCCCGACTTTGGCCACGTGAACTTTATCATGACCTCTCGAGGATTTAGCACAATATCTGACCTACATTTTTATTGGTAACTGTCGTCCTAAGTGGAGTTGTGCCGTGGTGATATAGCTTAAAACTTTGTATATTAGATTGACAGTACTCTGTAAGTTTATTCTTCTATTCGACCAAATTCAGCTAAAAGAATTTTGGGCTATCGAAATCCAAACTCAGCTCTTTGTTTTTTTTATAGCATAAGCCGGTAAACGAGCAGACGGATCATCTGACGGTGAGCAATCGGCGTCGCTCATGGACACTTGGAACACTAGAGGCGTTACGTTTATATCAATTTTATTCTACAGTATGAATTATCTGTTTATTGAAAAATCGTCCCTCAATGATAATCAAAGGTTCTTGTTGATGATAATCCTGTTGCTTGGTCCCGTCATGTAGTCCCTAAGTCGGTTCCTATGACGTGCAAGAGGTGACAAATGTACTGTGTCCTGCCGTCACACATACTTAATACACACATAAATAAAAGGTCATTCCTCCATGTTTTCTTAACACAATGCGTGAAGAATGACGTCAGAGAATAGTTTTCAAAGAAAATGTTAGAAGAATTTTAATAAGGTAACAATTGAGGTCGCGTTTGGCTAAGCTTTTGGCTAGTTTGACAGCCAACACGGCTTGTTACTCAGGCTTAGTTCTACATAGGCTGATTACAGTAACTTTTTGTTTATACCTATGTTAGTTAAGTTAGTTTTCTAAACTCTTTTTTATATTTGACCGTGGAATAGAATGCTTTACGTAAAAAGTTATAGAGGTATAATGTACCTAGATAGATGTTTTAAAAATCTGAATAAAGTGTGTCTAAATAATATTTAATGTTTTCTATTACTTTTAGCAAGGTTTTTAGGATCTCTGCATATGACGTATCGTTTTAAAACGAATATAAGGTGAGATTGTAATTGAACGTCATAACGACATGCCTGCGGTTATGATTCATGTGTGAAGAGCCTTAAACTGTCAAATACCAAGCGGTCACCGGTGACCGCGACCTATTGTTCTTTAATTGTGTCTATAAAACCGGTACTCGACGAGTTAATCAGAGTTTTAGTAACATTATTCAGACAAGATTTAAAATTAATTAGGTAACTATAGTATTATTAAATAAGTTATAGTTTACATGCAGAACTTACCTTTACAGATTCGTCAGACGAGCGTACAAGGCTGCTTCTCAGGTAGCCGACAATCGCGCCGCCTCGGCCGCCGCTGCATCACACAAGCCTCCGACACCTCGGTATCACACCCACACACCGTCCCCACCGGCTTTATGTACTTTATATTAAACTAATAACTAAACTAGCCACGCCACCCCCCACTATACAGTCAAACACATCGTCAAATTAAAGTAAGGCAAGTCCATTTTAAGCACCCAAGATATCCAAGAAGGTTAGGCGTTAAAGTCTGATCGGATTTAGGCGTTCGTAATTCAAAAAATCGGTTGAACGTTACAATTTGGCTTAGTGTTTTTTTTTTTATTTTTGTTGTGTTATTTTTTAATAATTAAAAGGCTATTCAGCTCCCGTGCTATTACCTACATCCGCGGCTTTTGTGTGTTTTGATACGCGGCGGAGCACGCGTGGTATACCCGTCCCGCTCCATATAAGGCGTTTTAAAGGGAGTGTTGGGATGGTCTGTCTCTCTCACTCGTCTCGTGGCACATTAACCTGGAACAAGCGAAGGTCTGATTAGTCCATGAGCTCGGTGCGTGGTGTCGTTACTGTCAAATGACCTAAATGTTGAACTATGTGTGATGGGAAAATAAATGAAAGTCTTGTCCAGACCATTCACAATAAAAAAGAACAAACGCTCAATTAAAAATTCATCCAACTCGAATTTCATTGGTACTTTTTATAAAAAAAAAACTAATATATAAATCAAAACGCAAGGGAACATAGTTACTATTTCAGACATGCTACTTTAAAGTAATTGTGACATTAGACCTCGTATTCAACAACTAAGCTAGCAAACATCGATATAAGAATTTTATATCAAATTCCAAAAAAAATACAATTACCCTAGCCAATAAAAACGAGGGCTTGTCAATTTCGACCAATACCTATCAGGCTATCAGCACTTTTATCAATCAATAACCAATGATAACCTTATCCTTAGTCCACACACACACACACGACCAATTCACAAGTTAAGGGGTTAACTCAGGATCGCCATTAATCCTAGAACATCGACATACACAAACTTGCTTCGTCTCAAAGTAATATTGTTACACTAGATTGTCCTAGATATAAGCACTAGATCTAGGAATTAGATTTAAAACTTATGTCAGAATGCTCGTTTGTGTTATGAGTATTAGTGGTTGGTTAAGTTAGTGATGGATTCTGTCTGATGTCGTAATTAGGTTGGATTTCAGGTCGAATTATGAGTGTAGAAAGTCTTAATAGAATATCTAGTGGAATATAATTTGTCATTATCCATGTTCTTTCCATAGGTATCACGTAAGTGTTGACTGAAGGATCAGCGCTTTTTAATAAAAAAGAATCTTTCAGACTTTGATATTAAGTGTGGAGATTATGGTAAATATTCATTATGTAGCCAATGCCCATCATTCCACTGGTGGACTGTCCCGAATTATTAGTAATTATGTATAAAAAACTTGTTAATCCATAGCTTAATATAAGTATTTAAATAAATAAATGAGCTATTGAGTAATACGGTAGTTAGTCAAAAACGATACTTTTCTATGAATTTTGTATTGGATCGCAACCTGTGACGTCATCATAGTTTGGGCACCCTACCTCACGGTAGCGATGAGGAAAATTTTTTCTTTGATGCCTTATGATACATTTTTTTTATTATTTTTTAAGGTGTAAATATTTTAGTTTTAAATTATTTATATTTTAAGTTGTATATATTTATTTCATTTAAATTCTAATCTGAAAAAATAATAGGTTTCCGCTTTTAAAAGTTTCTGAAAAAAATATGGATGAGAGTATGATTAATTTTTATATATTTATTGCATTGAAAAGTCGAAATAATTTATTTTAAACTTAAGAAACTACCCAATTGTAATTTATAGATTGACGTGTAAAAGTGTTACTTTATAACCTGGGCCTTTAGCCAAACTCCACTTTAGCGCTTGTCTACAGAGACATTAGAAATCAAAATGTATGGGGATGACACTGACAAGTGTCAAAATTTACGTCAATTCCATATAATTTGGTTTTCTATTCTACATGTAGACAAGCGCTAAATGGCATTTGGCTACAGCTGCTGTTTGCAGAAATAAATATAATTTAGTTTAACATTAATCAATATACTTAAGTTCAATAAAAAACCAGTAAATAATTGTTAACTTGAACTTGTGTAAACGACTTGTACATACATTCAAATCAATAGCATAAAAATAGACAGTTGTTATTTTTTTAAATAGCCTCACTAATAACTAACAATAACACTTTTTCAACTGTTATTAATAACATGGGGTAATTATAATACAGTCGTAATTGTAACGGTAATAAATAACAAAAGAATTAAACTGTTAATTAAATATCGACGTCGAGGACTGTCTCGTATGAATAATCTTTAGAGGCGCTAGTGAGAACTAAGGTCCAATAATAGATTTGTTTGTGTCAAATTTTTGACCGTGTAAAATATATTCACGACCTCTATTCTTTCCGTGGGTATCATAAGAGCTATGTAAAGATTACATATTTGACAGAGACCGAGAATAAACCTGGATTTTTAAAACTTCTTCTTCTTCTTCTTCCAGCTTATAAATGCACACTGCTGAGCAAATTTTCTTCTCATACGGAGAAGGTTTGAGCATTAATCACCACGCTTGCTCAATGCGGGTTGGCGACTACAAACTTATAATTAGAAATTATAAGCCCAGGTTTCCTTACGATGTTTTCCTTCACCGTTTGTCAGTGGTGTCTAGATAGGCTTAGAAAGTACATATAACTCGGAAAAAGTCACGTTGGTACTTGCCGTTGGTAGGTTTCGAACCGGTTAGTAGGTTTTTAAAACTAAGATTTCGAATCTTTTCATGTGTAGGAATTATGACAAGCCTATAAAACCGGCAGTGTAGTGTAGTGTTAGTGTGAAATTATTAAACGTATTTTTTATGACTATGACAGTGATTAGACAAACAGGACCTAACGATTTACACCTCATTAGCGCCACTTGATAAGCACAAAAATCATAGTCCTTATTGGCTAACGCCCGAATTTCTTTTCGTAGCGCTACGCCGTACCAATGTAGCCTCGTAGACGTACCAGCGTAGCGCGTAGCATTAAAGTTATTACTCTATTATTGTACAAGTCTTTCGTAGTATTTAGATCACGTTTGGACTGAATGATATTAATTATTCCATTAATTATATGGAACGTTTCTATAGTAGAACTGTAATATATTGTGACATTGAAGAAAGGTTTTATTTCGTACACGAATTTATTTATTTATTTGAATAAATAAATACATTATGGTAATGTTTATGTGAGTTTATGTTAGAAGTGATTTTGGATTCATTTAGTGTAGTGACTGTTAATATTCTAAGAAAGGATATATATATTCTTAGTGGAATAATGAGCATAACATATGGATTTTTTTCTAAAAGTCTTGATTTCAATGAATATTTGTGTTTCATTGACATGTCCTTTGGGGGAATGTTAACTACTATTTCGTAACAACAACAGCTCTAAAGATTTTTATAACGCAATTGGTTAACAACTGTTTGGTCCAGATATTCTTATAACCCAAATTCATCAAAATCTGTTAATCAATTTAGACACCAAAGTGTAAAAAATCCGATAGCAAACTTATTAGTAAGATTTTTTTTATGGTATAAGTAAACGAGCAGACGGATCACCTGATGGTAAGCAATCGGCGTCGCCCATGGACACTCGGAACACCAGATATTTATGTTACAAGTGTGTTACTGTTTTGGGGATTAGAAATTTGAGGAATGTTGGGGATTCGGGGATTGGAGAGGGTGGTAATTGGGCCTCCGGTAACTTCACTCACACAATGAAACACAGCGCAACCGTTGTTTCACGTCGATTTTCTGTGAGGCCGTGGTATCACTCCGGTCGAGCCGGCCTATTCGTGCCGAAGCATGGCTCTGCCACACTTAAGTTTTTGCAACATTTTCTATCTTTGCAGTCCCATACATTTTCAGTCTCATTTTAAAAAGGTGAAAATATTTTTCGCTGACTCATATTCTCTTTCTATTAGGGTCAGTTTGGGTCAAGTCTGGGTCAGCTGATGGTGTATGTTGCCATATTATTTGTATAGGGTTTAATGAATAACACAAATATTTGCATATCAGTGACATTGATATGGCTTTGGCGTTAGTTTTGTGCTTCCGAATTTATTTTTAAAAATATATGAGAAAAAAAATAATTGAAGAATACAATTATTTTCTTCAATACAAAAAATCTCAACATAGTTCTTCATCAATTTCCTACCAAAAGACAATATCTACTAATGTTACTCACAAAACATAAAGAAAGGACAATAATAGTTGCCATCTTTTGTGTGCCAAAGTTGCCATTGTCTTTGGCTAAAGATAACATGGCGGATTACACCAGTGTTGCCAGTACAATGGCATTGTGTGGCAAATAGCTTTACTTGGTTCCAGGTGGCACGGAGGCTTGATTTTGAGGCTTTGATGATTATTTGGTAGTTTATTGTGGTCTAATTAAAATGGATTGGATTTATTTTTTAGAAAAAAAGGTTTCTTTTCAATACTGCTGAAGTAAATAAGTGAAAAGAACAATAGAGTGGACGTAGCTATTGTTTCTGTTTGTTTGTTGATTCGTTAATAAGATGTTATTGAGAAGACGACTTTATTGATTAATATAAGACGAATTTATCAATAGGCTAGTTTCCTAAATTTTATTTTAATGTCAGCCTGGTAGATTATTTTAAAACATTAGACACGTATTTTTTCTTTTCTCACAAAATTAAATGCTTTCGACGATACATTGATTTGAAATGTCGTGTGACGTCACAGCGTGCAACAAAATGTAGCACGTTGTGACGTAACTACCTCCCACTCCTAAACTTATCGCCATTTTATCTGAGTATTGCAACTTAATAAGAAAAAATAAAAAATACGTGTCTAATATTTTTTAATTATCTAACTGATGGACTAATTAGATTTTTAATTTTCTTACCCTGGAAACTACCCAATTTTACGACGTAAATAAGGACCAAAATATTCTTTTGCATATAATAGGAATTTGTTGCGATAAGAAATATAAAAGCACCCATCTATCTATTTAGATAGATGGGTGCTAAGACTCAAGCGAGTAAAACAAAAAACAAAAAAAGAAAACAATAGAAGCAAAAACAAAACAAAAAACACATCAAATAAAATGTCTTTTACTACGACTAACGACCTTAAACTCCCATGGACCACCATCAATTAATGAAACACATATATATCACCAATGACGACAAGACCATGGAATTTATTCAAAACAATAAAACTGAGTAATCAAAGCGTACCATCATGGCGGACGCACTATAAACATTAATGACAGAAGTTCCACTATACATAATATTGTATTTTCCTGTTTAATTACTCCAAAAACGATGTAAAATTAACACTATTCTATTGTATATGGTTTGAGTTGATTGTTTTACTGACAGATTTTTGCAAGGCTAAGGGCCTGTTTCACAAAATCTGGATAGCCCTTATCTA